TCATACCTGACCTCGCTGTTCATTGCCTCATTGGTGACTTTGACAATCAGAGAATCTCCCTGAGTCGGCATTGTCACCAGCAGCGGAGTGTGCAACGTAGCAAACAGGATTGTGATTAATGGGAGTTAAGAGTGGCGTCGTTACAAGCCGCACGAAAAGAAGCCACAGGCGAGAGAAATGGGACCTGGGTTGAATAACACCGCCAGGGCTCAACACTGAATCAACGAGCATGACAGACAGCCTTAGCAGCATCGGCGTGAGGTGCTGGGCCGCAGCAGGAGGCGAGCAGGTGGTGCAGACGAAACCATCCATGAAACCAGGTGTTTAGAGGCCTTCTGCAAACGGCCAATGCATCACAGTGATGAATGGAGGAGGGGTCGACAGCAGGGATATGAGGTGTTGGATTCACTGATGCCTAGAAGGGCTGGGGGATGGATGGCGATAAGAGTTTTAGGGTTCACCTCGTTCTGCTGATCCCCTCACCGCTAACCATGCGTTTTGTCCATCTTAATAGCATGCCACACACACCTCCAGCCAGGGAAAATATGTTCAGCATGGAGTTTAGGTGTCACACCTGTAATCCTGCATACTTGTGAGATAACCATAACCAGCTTGAACAACATGCAGCTGAAGCCAGGAGTTCACATACACTGAACAAAAAGAAACGTACTCCTTTTCTTTCCTCAGTGTCTGAAGTTAAATCGGGCCACATTCACCTTGCTTTAGGTCACTTAGAATGACCAAAATGAATAACAATAGAAAGAATATGTCAGAGATTTATTTATTAATGACTGAAATATCAGAAGCTTGCAGACATATTCTGATTGTGTGGCTGCATTGCTTTTGCAATGGACTGTATAAATTTGGTCAAATGTTTTGGGTTTTCTACAAGCTTTTCACAGCACATTTTTCACTTTAAGATGACCACTTTGTTGTTCTTCAGCCACTTTGTGACCACTGTCTGTCTGCTGTGATAACAACAGCTTATGGTTTTCATGTCACAATTCCTTAAAAGTCAGATTTGGAGAGCGCTAAACTCCATAATTTTTGTTTTCCTGTTGCAAACTTTCCACCAGAGTTACAATGGGGTAACACTGCTGCCCCTCTGATTAACACGGCCCTGGTCTCAGTGTCGGTTGAGGTAAGGAGCCTCGGTAGTTGCTTCTGATGAACTGAGCAGTGAACCATAAAATGTTTAAATCGTGGAAGATAGTCGTAAAAACTAGCCCAGACATCCTGATCCCTGACCTGTCTTTGTCCTTATGATGCTCTTTGTTTATTAATATTGTACAATATTTTGATAAAATTTATTATATCGGATTTTTCAGGAAAATCAGCAAAGGCGGGCAAACGCAAATGGACAAAACCATTTGTCTGATTTTAATTTGCTAAAAATGTGTAGACGTTAAGCAAACTGAAAACAATTCAAGCGATTAAAACACAAAGTAATGCAGCTTTTGAATCTCTGTAAAACAAACGGCCCTTTATTCCTACAAACGTTTGACCTGCAGTCCTGAGCAGGCTGGAGAGGCGTTCGTTCTCAACCTTCAATTATGCCCTCTTGTGCTAGAGAGCGTGTTTTTGAACGTCTTTCGGTCTCATGTCATGGCATTAGCTTGGCCTCGGAGTTATGCTGAACAAACCAACAGGCCTGTCGTTGCACTGATAGATATTATTGAAGAGGGTCACGCAATGCTTAACTCTGGCACTCAGCATTAGCGTTACCATCTGATTGACAACCTGAGACGAAAAAAACTCTGCAACAACTGTGTCTCACGCGATATTGGGAGAATCACTCAAATTTAATTTAGTTATTTTGGTAGGCAAGATAAAGACAAATTCATGAAAGCTTTTGCTTTTTTAATTGTTTTTTTCTTGCACTAAAATGGCTCCAGAAGCAAAATTAATAACATCTTGTTTTGTAAACTAATTTTCTGTAATATTGTTAAATATATTCATATTTGGGACTCGTCAAAGCTGAACATGAGCATTTGGGTTTTATTGAACACATACGTATATACATACTACACATATACTTGTATAATTTGTGAAAGGTGTACCTATTTGCCTACATTTCAGTCCAAATCCATTATTCTCCTATGTGCAAAGCTTGTTCCAAAAACGAATGTACCTTTTATGCTTGTTGTTGGACAGCCAGACATATGCAGTCTATAATTACATTTTTTTCACAGAAGACGTAGATGTAGAAAACATTGCGCATAAATGTGTCCCACTTTGCATTCACACAACAAACACGTTTTACACTGATCAACCTTCCTAGAAGACTGACCTTGGTTTGTGTTTTGTCTTTCTTCAAAGCAGTTGGTAGATGTCACTGCATGACAGACCGTAAATCAGAGATTCCAGCTGAAATGATGTCAGCCCTTTGCATCATGTGTTGTCACCTCAGGCTATGAAGACATGTGGACATGTGGTCGCTCTCATAACTACATTCACTCCTCAGACTCACACGAGATTTTTCCGAGGGTTAACTAGTCACATAAACAGATGAACAGTCGCACAGCATCAAACAAAGCAATAAGTTACGAATCAGTCCTCTGAGCTGATTGAGAGGTGATGTGGAGGTGATAACCAAGAGCTATATTAGTTTAATTATAAAATATGGCTGTATTAATTATTTTCTTCTATTTTAAAACAAGCGTAGGATTTTTTTTTAGTGTGCCTTGTGTTATGTCACAATCACAAACAGCAAGAAGTGTCAGCTTTTGTGTTTTATTATGTACGATTCCCATTGTTTCATAATATTTAGCATTTGATTGTTGCTAGAAATTGTCCAATTTCAGGGTACTCTTACTTGCTTCAACTATTCAGTTATTTAAAAGGAGAAATTGAGCAGTTCGTTACCTTATGTTACAGTTCTCTAGGTTATTTATATATTGTACATTTAATATGGTAAAACTACAAGCGCATCAACTGAAATCCCAAGTGTAAATTGTAATTGGACTGCACTTGATGAAGGACGCTGGAGGGAAACGTACATTATTCCAGTTGCCATCGCCTCCCCCATTTCACATCAATTCAATTATAAAGAAATAATAATGAAAATTGTCATTTTTACCATCAAATGCTTTGCTTGGACATTGCTTGGACCTTCAGCAGTTAAATTCCCGTCTATTTTCATGCTGTCCATTACTCACTTTGAACCTCTGCAAAGCCGAAAGACTGACAGACTGCAGGTACAACAGCCAGAAAGTATTACAGCCTGTATCCGAAAGCTTTAATGACGTATGGAGATTTGTATTGTCCGTGCTATTCAAAATTTACAACAGCAATTATTCACGGATAGCAAGACAGTCACAGTTTCGTAAAAGTTTTATTGCTCCCTACATACTTCTTGTTGCCAGTTTCTCGAGTCAGTAACTCAGCAGATTCCTCTGGAAGCGATTCTGAGAAACCGTGCACATGAACTCCTGACATTTACAGGAGCAGGAATGATTTCTCTGATTGTCTTAAAATGTGCCTATGCCAGCATTACCAGACACTTGGACTATGCGGTGGACATTGTTCATTTATTTGTGGCATTGAAAGATTTTGGTTAACAATATCAGTGCTTTAACGGAGCCATCACTCTGGTCTTTATGCAGTGGTGACTTCGTCACCCAGAATGCAGCTAGGAATGGAGCTGTACATGTGTTGCTTTATTTAAACAGTTACACCTCGCTGTAAACCTGTCAGCGCTATTAATCTGGGGCAGAGATGATGTGAAAAGATCCACCTTTGAATTTCACGGCTCCCCATTGTCTTGTGTCGCTCATGTACGCCGACTGACCTCAGCTGATCATGTCACTACAAAAACATTTATACGCCTTAAGCTTTTGCTCATCGACACCTTACAGTCACAAACTTTAAATGTATTTTTTGGGGGGAAATTTGTGTGACAGACCAAAAGACAGCAGTCCTTGATTGAGAAGTGGAAGGAAAGAGAAAGTTTTTTTGCAATTGAAATCCAAAAAGGTTGGTGTGCATTTGTATTTGGTCCCAACTCCCAAAGCTGGTTAAAAGGAAAGTGAACCATCCTTCTGGAAAGTGAACCTTCCTTCTGGAAAGTGAACCATCCTTCTGGAAAGTAAACTCCTTCCTTCTGGAAAGTGAACCATCCTTCTGGAAAGTGAACTTTCCTTCTGGAAAGTAAACTCCTTCCTTCTGGAAAGTGAACCATCCTTCTGGAAAGTGAACTCCTTCCCATTAAACAGCCTACAGACTGTCAAAAGCAAAACCTTTGATTAGTTATAAATTGTTTCTATAATTTATTAAATATTAATTTCATGAATCGTTGGCACTGCAACTTACGATATAAAGCCAGGTCAATAAAGTCAATTTAAGTGTGTCAACTTAAATTGCCATTTTAAAACTTACTATAAAGTTTTAAAATGGATCATTTAAAAAAAAAGATGACAAGTATAGCAGCAATATTAATACACAGCTTAAATAACACCAAAAATTGAGGTCTTAATCCGATAATACGGGACTAATTATGTTGTAAGGTTTTAGTCACAGTTGGGGAAATGCTCTACCTAGTTGAATTTGATAGAGGAAACGTGCCAACAAGGTTATACCTCAGTAAATTGAAGAAAGTGGATTACTTTCCGTCAGCAAGATCTGTTTGAGAACTGACTTTAAATTTTTCTGTAAAGTGACAAAGTGTGAGAAAGTTTCAGTCTATGGATATTTTGCATATCGCCCAATGCGTTTCTTTCATTAGTTGAGGTGTGTCAGATTTTAATTTATGAACAAACTGCTCAGGGAATTCTCTGCGTTCACACAGTGCTTCGTGCTCAGTGGCCCAATGTACCCTGAACAGCTGCTTAGCGGCTTGAGATGAATGACAAGTTGATTCGTGAACTATTACATGTGAAAGATGAGCATACGTTGAAGGGTATAGCACGAGCATCAACATCTCGTGTGCATTTCAGCTTTTCAGTTTTAACCGAGACAAACAGAAAATGGTATAACGTCGTGTCTAAAATATTGAGGACAAATATTTTATGGACTTATTTATTAAAGAGAGTTAACCAACTTTGCCACCAACAACATATGTTTTTTTTGTTTTTTTAGCTTTTCTGATAATGCAAAAGTAAAACCAAACATTTCAGAAAATAATATTGATGCATTTAAGCAGCTGTACATACAAACTGAAGCATAATCAGAGCATTGCAATAATGCAGTCAGAACTGAGTTATTTATGTCTTTTTTTTTTTAAAGTATGTATACCAAATGTCACGTCTGTGCTGCGTCACAAGGTCCTTCATTCATTGATGACAACGTCAAACATTTCCAAAATACAGAACGAAAAAAAAAAGGAATTCTGTTGTGTTTAAGCTCAAATTCAGACTCGTTGAGAAACGTATATCGCAGCTTTGCACCCGAGTTGGATTGCGTTTTTTAGCAGCCAGTACCCAGGTAGCTGAAACAAAACAAACAAAAAAAAAAATCACAAGAAATGCATTTTACTTTTTTAATACAACACAGTTTGTGCTTATGTTTAATTAAACATGAGTTTAAATGGATTGAAGACTCAATTATATAAGATATTATTCATTGAGAATATTTTCAGTAGGTTTCTTCATAAATGCACTTACTGATTCGGCATCGTGCTCCAAACCTGTATCATGATGGTCCATTTCATCGTCTCTAAACTCCTTTATCACCTATCGAAAGGAACCACAAATTAACACTTTTTACATCACTTCTTGGTGCTAACAAGGAAGTTCATCATTTGTTGATAAAAAAAAAAAACAGTGTCCCACACATGTTTTTTTGATGATATTCAACAAACCAGACTTGGAGAATAATGCTAATTGATCAGACAGAAAATCAATAATAGCAATGAGTTCAGGTTAATTAATCAATTAATTGCAATGGTGTAATTAATTGATTACACCAGTAAAGTATGTATTTTACTTTATCGTTTATAGTAAAATACATAACATGCGGCACAGAAAGCGTTGCTTCTGAACAACGTCAAACATTTGCAGACCTCATTCTTAATCTCGAGTTCGATCAAACAAGTAAGAATGAAATATTGTCAATAAGTGTCATCATTGAGTTCGGCTGCAGTCAGTTTGTCGGGGGCTTGCTCGAATACTTTTCGCTTAAAGTTAAAAGACAAAGTACAAACATTCTGAAGTGTGGCCCTCACTTGTAACAGCTCAGTGTATCTCTCTGGGTCGTTCTCCATCAGCGCTCTGATCTGGCTGTTGTAGTGCTCAGAGATGCTCTCCTCCACTGCCACAGTGCACGCCATGGCCCCCTCTTTACCCAGCAGAGCGGTGGATGCCCCTGGAGGACGTGCAAAACAAGAGAGATGAATGCAAATAAAACAGTAGTCTTGTCTTTTTACCAGCAATGTCAAGAGAGCTTTGAGTTTTTATGCCTCTATTGTCTTTTCTTTTCTACATTACAGCTAAAAGGACACTGTATATTTATATGCTGCCCCAACCTAAAACAAACCCAGCCAGGTTCCAGAGTGGCAGAAGAGCCGTGGGTCGAACTCTGCTCTCAGCAAGGATTTCATTGAATTTTGATAGGTGCTTCTTTTCTTGATCCCACATTTGCTTCAAAAAAACAAACAAAAAAAGAGTTAAAATACTAAAACCATTGAGCTTGATCTGACAACATACTGAAAATAAAGTAGAAATTTTTATTCCTTTTTAAAAATAAATTTACTAAAGTATTTAAGTATATATCAAATAAAAAAATGGATCTGACAAATTAAAACTTATAAACCCCGAGTCTCTTTTGTTGTCTCACTGTGAACATTTTCTCACTGTTATTAATGGCTTTAATACAATATTCTACGGGTACACACAGATGATGCTATCGTTCTTTGGGCATCAAACTTTTTTTTTAATTATTTGGGGTCATAATAACCCTTCATAAGTTTCAAAATATATTGAGAAAAACTTGGCCACAGAATGGAACTTTTTAAAACACTCCAACTATCAATTTTTGGCAAGTATACTGGACCTCTGCACTATTTAAATTATATTTTAATGAGACCTTTTGTAGTGACAACCAATTTTTAGACATAGTGGGGTTTTGACAAACCACAATGCGTATGTGGGTCAAAACCCCAGTATGTGGGTCAAAACCCCAGTATGTGGGTCAAAACCCCAGTATGTGGGTCAGAACCCCAGTATGTGGGTCAGAACCCCAGTATGTGGGTCAGAACCCATGCTTTTCAATGGCATCTTTACCTGGATGAGTGGTCCAGTTCTAGACCGGCCCAACACTGCCATCTGCCCGGCGTAGATGCGATTAGCACCGTATTCACCCGCGTGATCCACGCGCAGCATCCGGTGCAATATCTCCTTCTCCTCGCTATCGCGCGGCGCAGGAACGACGCTGTAGGCGCGAGCGCTGTTCTGGAGGCAGCCTACGTAAACATCATAACGCAAAAGCATGAGTAACTTGAGGAAATCCTTCAAAGATCTCTAACTGCAGGGGGAGGGACGGGAGTGGTAGATTTAATACTGAATGAAAATATTTCAGTAACATCAAGCAGGTACATTTTTCTGTTTTAAGCACGTTTACAATGAAACTTCATTGTAAATTGCAAGCTTGATTCCAGGCTTACAGTTACGTCATGGCTAGCTTAGGTAAGTGTTTTTAGCATTTTAGCTTGGCGCCGAGAAACCAGCAGCTCACCTGCGCACTTTGAACTCTGTCGGATCATCGCTGCTCTGACGAACTGAGGCCAGTCACAGAAAGCCGCGGGCGCCGCTCTGTGCATCGCAGCTGGCGAGGGATTCAACTGCGACCGCAGAAAAACACATGCAAGAGGGACCTTGAGCGTCAGCTGGTGAATCAAACGCACTCTAATGACGTAGGCGCGCTTGACGGCGCCCCGATATGGCAGGCTGTTGTGCCATTTAATTAAAGAAACGTTGGCTAACAACTTCTACTAGATTAAATTACCTTTTGAAACGGGATTTACGTTTAATCCCTGTTTGTTCCCCAGACAGGGATTAAAATACCCTCAGACATTTCTCAGTCTGGAGTAAAGTAAGCTATTTTTTCAAGTAAACTCCAAAAGAAGACTCATATTATTATTATTATTATTATTATTATTATTATTATTGTTATTATTATTATTATTCATAACTGACAATAAATTGACAACTTATTAAAAATAAATTGTCAAATAAATTGACGACTTCATTCACTTTTTCAACATCTGAAAAGGTGAAGGAAGTAAAGAAGGAAGGACTACTGTGAGGAGCGACGGCCCATAGGTGGCCCAGTAACCTTTCAGTAGGACAACAGTCCCAAGTAAACAGCCAAGACATCAAAATAGTGTATCCAGGAGTTCCTTAGATGCCTGTGAGTGGTCAACCAGAGTCCTAAACCTCTGATTGATCTGACTGAATCTGATTAAACATCTCTACTAAGACCTGGACATGACTGTGCACTGATGTTTCCCATTCAACTTGATGGAGTTCTAGTGACTCTGGAAAGAGACATGCACCCCAAGCTTGTTGCATCATATTTAAGAAGACATACAGCTTTAATTGCTCTCTATGTTATTGAGTTAAGGCTGCGAATACTTACGTGTGTACAATTTCTTTGTTGTTTTTTTTTACACATAACTCCAAAACAAAATCACATTATAGAGTGTTTTGTGCATTGAGAGAAAAAATAGAATTTCATTTTGAAACAAGATTTGAAATGCAAAATTTTAAAAGACCTGAAGCTCATTGTACCAGCTACATTTCTGTTTTCTGTACCCGCTGTGCTTCATGAAAACACACAGGATCATGAGCTGCCGAGGTGAACAGGTTCAACATCTAGGATAATTTACTTGTCTGTCACAACACAAACAAATCCACGCTCTCTCCAGCCAAATCACTGCTCACAGTTTACTTGGCCTACATATATTTGGCCTGTGGGGCATAAACAAACATTTGAAGGTGAAAATTAAATTTCGGCTGCTCGCTCTTTGTTTTTCTGTGCTAAACAAATTTTGACTGTTTTCTTTGTTTAGACATGTTGTGTAAGAGGCAATTAGGCAAAGAAAATGAGGGCTTTTATGGAGCAATTTGTGTTATTTTTGAAGGTCTACAGATGGCAGTGCAGCACAGTTAAAATAGGCAGAGGGACGTTTCAGCTCACGTACACCGGCTGGTCCCAGTTTGAAGGATTTCAGTTGTAGTCAACACATTTTTACTGAAAAAAGCTCTATTTAGCATTTCAATTTAGACTGAAAAGTAAAGAAACAAAATATGTTCCGAGAATTGTAGCCACGATCCCTTATAATCCTGCTGTCATGAGTTGCATTAGTAAATATTAGTCTGATTCCTACTCTTGATGTCTAACAATAATAATAATAATAATTGAACCAACAAATTACACAACACCTAAGACAGACTGAGTGCAGAAATGTGTGAAGAGGTTGACTGCTGCAGCAATACGGTGGTCAAAAGTAAACAACCCCAGGCCCGTAAATGGCAGGGTGTGTTGGTTCTGTCTGTATGTGTGTTTGTGGTGAGACACCGGATATGTGTTTCCTTATCTGTCTGTCTGACTCTGGGTTGCTACATATGTGTGGCCTCGAATCGGTGGGTCACCCTGGGCTTTCAGGGCGAGCGTATGTTGGATTTACTGCAATAAAAAACATTTCAAATAACTTTCACAATCGTCTTTGGTGATCTTCTCTGCTTCTAATTTAGAGCAACTAATTGCTGGTGTTTGGAAAGTCGCACCGCAGAAGCAGCATTTCCTCTTGGTTCTGTATTTTCGCATTGGACTTGGTTGTTACTGAAAATAAACGTACTTCCGATTTCATGGGGTGATGAAAACAAGTGCTGAAATTTATGAAGGGTTTTTTTTCTACATGTTACATAGATATTTAATCTTGAAATAACCAACAGGGATGTTAATTCAGTAAAATCAGATTTTTGGAGTGAAATTACACAGAATATCTCAAGGTCAGAAAAAATATATGGAACTGAGAGGCAACAATTTAAAAAACAAACTTAGAGAAAACAATATTTCAGAAATCGACTACAATTTTTTTCAATCGTAGTGGTAGTAAATTACAACTAATTTAAAGCAAAACTATTTACTCTTCTCCAGTAGTTTCATTTTGTCATATATCAAAATGAAACTGCAGTGTAATTTATTTAGATTTTCTTTAGCACACAGAAACAACAATCTAGTTCATAATGATAGCTGAAAGGAAACTGATACATGGTTTTCTAGATTTTTAAACAAAAACATCTGAGAAGATTAATATGTAATTATATTCAACTCTCTTTGCTTTCTCCTAAATGAAATCATGTTAATTAGTCATATGAATCAGTTTTCATCAGTGGCGCTGGTGAAAATATGTTAGTCTGGCCGGGCTAAAGTCAGGACGTGGATCCAACTGAGAATCTGTAGCAAGGCTCGGGGTTGATGTTAAGAGATGCGCTCTGGAAAAAGCTCTGTTCAAATGTTTGAGTTGTAAAATGTGCAAAACTGGTGGAGATTATCCCCAAACATTTTTCAGCTGCAATTGTCATGAAAGGTGGTAATAGAAAGCTGAACACATGCATTTAAAGGCCATGCCGTTTTCTTTCCACTTTCCCTTTACACTGTCTTGGTTTGGCACATTAAATCCCAATCAAACACACAGAAGTTTGCAGTTGTTTATAACATGGGAAAAACTTTACGCATTTTAGCAAAAATGCGTGAAAATAAAAATGGTACGCCTATGTTGCATTGCACAAAATCAAACTGATGTCACAAACTGGTCAACTCTTGGGCCAAATAATGACTCGTAGTGACACGGTCTTACCTTGTTAGTGTTTGGAGTTAATTGTAATTTCTCTCTGCTTTTTGAGAAATTGGTGTCCTGGTTCTCAAAGAGTAGGACTGAAAGAGCTCTGAGGTTTCCTGACACCGATCCAAAACGTTCCTAATTGTGGCTGTTTGTTGGAAGATGCTTTTCCTGAGTGATGTTTCCAGCCCTCTCTTCAGTCCAGAGTAGAATAGCCAGCGAGCTCTGTTGGATGAAAAGCAGACCTCCACATGGATTGCATCAGGATCCTTTGCTGCTGGCATGACAGAAAACTCATGGTATCCCTCACCTTTTGGGGAAATGACGTTCCAGATGTCTCATGCAATTAGAATAAGGAATCATCTCAGAAAACAACTTGGCAGTAATCGTTTGCTGTCCATTCCTGTGTTTCATGCAGAATTTCAGTCTGTCCTCCTTGCTTTTTTGTTTTTTTGGGACACATGCAACCTTTTTTCGCAACATGTTTTTCTTATGTTTTCTCCACAGGCAAAACTGTCACCAGTGATGGCAAATATTTTCAAGCTAATGGATAATTATATACTTTTATCGAGATGCATCGAGAAGCTGTATTGAAATATGTTTCTTTTCTAGTCATAAGCTAAAAAACAGAGACACGCATGTCACAAAAAGTAACATTTCAACATTCAGTGTAGTGATCAGCGTCCTGCAAACAGAGAAGAAAATCACCTATTCTGCAACCAGAGAGAATGAAATGAGATGAAATGAGAATCTCCACCGATCTCATTTCATCAGGAGTGCAAATAGAGATGTCAGTATAAAAATATACATTCAACCATCTGCTGCACAAACTCTCAGAACATAGTATGCAACTGTGCAGCAACAATGGGCCACAGCAGTGGATCTCTGGAAGGTTAATAACTTAGAGTCTTTAACGTCACAAGTTTGGTGCTGGACAGAATCGGAAAGTAGTAGATTTACAAGATTGTCTTTATAAAATACAAATGGTTCAATGTCAAAATATGTAAAAAAAAAAAAACACGGATGATATTTTTAAGGAGGCTTGGAACTTGAACTCCCCTCCAGCTCCTATAGGAGTCGAACTGACTTCGCTGTTTTCATTAGTCAGCACTATGACATGGCAATCCTACACAAGCAGATTTTATAACATCAGGAGAGATCACCCTGAATAACTTGCATCATTTCTTGTCTCTGTGGCTTTTTGAGAAGATGCGCATAAATGTAAAATGCCGCAGCAAATGCTCAGGTAAAATAATGTTTTATTATCGATCTACTTATATCTAGATAAGATAACGTAACATAAGATAAAAGCAACAATAATGTGAGTGGCCCATAGCTTATTAGACTAGATATCATTCAACAGGGTTACAGCTGAACTATTTTTTAGTTGCAGGGTTATTAAATAAAAATGTAGGGAACTGAAAAAGGCCCTACAAAACACTTCATTTTTTTCCATAACTCAATCAAATCTCCACCAAGTTCCAACCAAAGACAAGGAGTCAGAAAAATGGTGCAAAAGAAATCTCTGTCTCATCTCAGATAAAGTGCAAGATTAAGGCCCTGGGTTCAGTGAGATTTTGTCTCAGACATTGTACAAATTATGAACCACAAGGAATAAGTTAGTGCATGCTTCTAAAGTAAACATCAAGAGACAAATTATACATGTCTCCGTCTTCAATTGAGCTTATTCACATCCAAATTTGCACTTTTTCTGCTTCCAAGGAAGAAGGATAAAGTTTTTTTCTTTTTTTTTTTGTTTAGTTTTTGCCAAATTCAGCAAAAGCAATAATTAGTAAACATCTATTATACTAAACAACACTGCAGTTCTTTTTAAAGGTTTCTTATTTAAATTTGATGCACAACTGCAGGTCATTATTGGAACTATTTTTATTTAGATTTGATGAACTATGAGCATTTCGAGTTAAAATAGGTTTCAAATAGCGAATGACCTCACATCTGTTGACAAAAGATTGTCAAGTTATGTCATTGTCTTCCGGTTGTGTGTCTTGAGGCTTTTGTGAATTTTCTGTCATGTGAGGTCAGTGGG